ATTTTTGAACACAATTGTCCTTTATTTTGTACATCAAGAAGAGGGGCTAGGGAAGGGTAAGTGGAAGGAGGTGAGGGAGGAATGGGGTACGCGCCCCCGATGGGGAGGACTGGGCTGGCTCTGTGGGCTTCTGGGGATGAAAGCTCTCCTGCAGTCCCCCAATTGCCTCCTCTCCCCAGATGGCAGCCTGCGGCAAGTGCAGCCGGGCTGATGGCCGAGTGCTGTGATGTGCCCAGTGTGGGTACTCCGGGCAATCCAAGCCAGGACTGCTTTGCAAGCGGGGCACCCCTGAGAACTGTCTGTCCGGGATGGGGGTCGGGTCCCTTTAAGCACAGCCCTCGGCTAGCCTGAGACAGCATCTCCACGCTCTAAGTCCTCATCTGATGCCCTGCCGGCACTGCTTCCGGCCATCCTTAACCCCGGTTTAGCATCCACTCTGTGTGGACAAGCTAGTTCGAATTAGCAAAATGCTAATTCAAACTAGTTTTTTAGTCTGGATGTGTCAGTTTGAATTAGCTTAGTTCAAATTAACTAATTCAAACTAAGTTAGTTCGAAGTAGCGCTGTAGTGTAGACATACCCTATCTCATCTTGAGACCTGTAGCACTGCGCTGTCATGGGACGCTAGGTCTGGACCCTGGGTTAATGCAATTGCAGAATAGTTTCATGGGACATGCTTTTATGGGTCCCAAATCCATCCCTATAGGTAGAGGATGGTGAGAGGAGTTCTTAGAGGGGTCACGTGACACCCTTTACTTCCAGTCATGTGTTCATCTTGACCCAGGAAATACTACCCCAGGGTTGGGACTTCCTGCGGCAGGTGCCTAAGAGGCCAGAGGCATGGCTAATGGTTTCAGGGGGCATGGCCAAGTTGTCCCTATTTTTTGGTTCCGAAAATCTGGTCACCATATATAAATGCCACTTTGAAGCTGACCTAAACTGTTTCTGTGAGAGAACAGACAGGACCAAGGAACTTGCAGACTGGGCCATAGAGCCTTTTGTCCCTAGAACCTAGTTTCTAATTCATTTATTGTTTTAGGGAATTTTAAATGCTTTGGAAAGTTTCAGTGTTGACAGTTCTTGGAGTTAGGTTTTTCCAGTTCACAAAAGTCAGTCCAATGATCTTTCAATCTAAATGATTATTTTACTTTAGATTAAGGCAGGGTTCAGCAACCTTTCAGAGATTTGACTTATTTGCCTCTATGTATGGGTACAGACTTGGGGAGGCAAGCCCCTCCCAGCTCCACGCACCAGAGCCCATGCTCCTCCTCTCGCTGTGGCCTACTGGCCTCTGCCCAGCCTCTGACCCCCCATCAGAGTGCTGGCCCTTGCTTCCTCCCTTCCCAGGGTAGTATCTCCCAACCATCCCTGGCTCCAGAGCTCCTGGGAGCCAGCAGGCAGCACAACCCCAGCCTGGCCCAGCAGGTATGGCACAGAGCTGGGCAAGGGCAGGTCCAGGTGAGGTAGTTTGGGAAGGCAGTGACTTCTCCTGCCTAGGACATAAGCCACCCATGCAGGTTTCTCTGCCTCTGGACATACCACCGCTGCCTCATTCTAGATGTTTGAACTCCTAAGGGCCAAAGTGATCTGAGGTAAGATGGGTGTTTGGCTGTCTATCACTCCTGCAGGGCCTGAGCCAGTGGCATGCTTTGAAACTTCCCTCTAACTTCACACAAAATGACAGAAGTTAGAGAATGACAACCACCTTCATAACCTTTCCTCCTACTCTCCTCCATCCTCCTGCACTGGTTATGAGGCAAGACCACAGGGAAGCTCCTCTCTGGGAAGGAGCAGCGGAGGAGGATTTTGTAGGGGGAGGAGGCGCCTGCGAAGCACTGTGTCTAAACTGCTGGCACAGAAATACACAGCTGAGTCCTCTGGTGCTACAGGAGAGATATCCAAGTGAAGGACCCCAGCCTGTCGCTGTTCTGCTCGGTATCGATTAGTGACATTGCCTTTGTCTGTTTGGTCTTTATTAACAAAGACAAAGAGCAGCTGCAGGCCCTGACCTGGATCCTGCCGGTACCAGAACATGCTGTTGTGCCCATAGGTTTGTTGACATGTGAGCTGGGCTCGGTATCCCTTCTCCAGAACCAGACTCTGTGTTTGGTTGATCCAAGCACCTGAGTATCCTGTGGGGGAGAGAGATAAAACATACGATGCAGAGACAGTGAAACACATGGTTCTGTAAGGCATGTCCAGAGCCATGTCCTGCAAACATGGAGATGAGCATCTACATCTCAGCCAACAACTTACTTGCTACCTCGAGAGAAATGACCATGTACCAGAATATCCATGTCCCCATCTCTGCCTCACTGAGCAGAGACATTCCTTTGCATCAGGTTTTACACCCTCTGCTCTGTAGGTGTGGTTCCTCCAACAATAGATAGAATCACTTTGTGGTTTGGCTCCAGGCTCCTACGCTTACAGATGCAGCACCTTACTTAAAGGGCCCTGCACACGTGCCCTTGAGAGCAATGATCTGTGTTCCCCGCAGAGAGACAGATTCATTGCAAGTGGGTCTGCATGACATAAATAGAGCGGCGACTTCCCAGTGTCAGGCTAAATGATCATCTGAGCAGGGAGCACAAGGACTGAATTGGGCACCCTGGCTCTGGTTCCTCTGCATCAGGGTTGAATGTCCCATTGATTGAATGTGCTCCTATTGTCACTGCTAATGAACACTTACCAGCATTCATCTCCAAACACTTACCAAAGGTAGGTGAGTGTCATTCAATCTGTTTTACAAGAAAGATATGAGGAATAGGGAGGTTAAGTGACCTGCCCAAAGTCATAGGGCAAGTCAGTGATAGACATGGGAACAAAGTCCAGATCCCCTGTTCATTGGATTACACTGATTCCCTGGGAAATGTCCCTCTCTCTTCTAGCTGTGGTGCCCTCAGGACAGTGCCTGAGCAGCACGTTCATGTGGGGGTATGTGTATAGGGAAAGGAAGCTTCCACTGCTCTGCCTCTGCCTCAGATTAAGAAAAAGGCTTGTTTGGCTTCCTGGGCTGGGTATCAGTAGCCTTCACCATTGCTAAGGGCCAACTGGGGCTGAGGTGTGAGTGTTGGAAGGGACATGGAGTGAGCAACACTGGCGGGTTATTGCACAGCAGTGAGGCCCAAAACTCTCACTGTGCTTTACTAGCAGCACAAAAATACACAGCAGAATCTTCAACTGTCCCCCGACTGATTGTCAGGGAGGCATTCAGTATTGCTGGTCGTATCATATTATATCTGGGTTTGAAATTTTCTTCTATTTTTGGTGAATTAGTCACATCTACAGAAGTGGCAACTAACTGCAGCTGCTTTTCTGCACCCTTCTTCTGCTGATACCACAGGACAGTATAGTAGGACGTGTCATTATGTTCACATGGGATTCTTCCCTCGCTCCCACTCTGGATGGCTATAAACTTCTCCTTCTGTGTCACCGTCACCCCGCTGCAAAGACCTAAAAGGAGAATGGAGTGGGCAGGGTGAGTGAGGGCCATGGAGGATGGAACACAACTCACCTGACCCATGTGCATTTCAGGATGCAGTTCTAAAACTCCTTTCCTGATTTTAAATCCCTATAGACACTGGTCTGGTCACCTCACTGACCTTGTTGGTACTGCTTCCTCCTCACTTCTGTCGATGGCCTAAACCCTGTCTCTTCACACAACATTATCGGAGTCAGTACATAAGCCAACTCCTGTGCAGCTCCTGCTTTCTGGAAACAGCTCCACCCTTTCTCTCCCTGTTTCCTCCACTTGTCTAGCAGAGGATTCCTCCCTTTTTCCCATCACATATGCTTGTCAGTTTGGTACTGGAGTCGTCTCCTGTGAAACTTCCATCCTCTGCAGCAATCACCCTCTGCCCCAGATTCCACTTCTCACCCCAGAGGCTAAAGTAAAGCTGTATCATCCTGGAGTCAAAATATTTATCAGAAACACTTTCCTACCTGCCAGAAGCTGGAAGCCAAGGGAGACACCGAATGGCCTCCACATGGCATCTGCAGAAAAGACAAGCCAGAGTGATCATTTTCATTGAGCAAAGTTCTATGTTCCTTTAGTAGGCGGAGTTCTGTAAAACCACAAAAAGGGAAATAACTGATGATCACGAGGCAGAGCAGATGGTGGAGGTGGAAAAATGGGGTCCAAATATGGATCTGAAATGTGCTGTATTTTGGTGTTTCTTTATGGATGAAATTGTAAACCCAGATCTGCACAACCCAGCAATGTAGTGTGGTGGTTAAACATTCTGTTGAAAAGTGTGGCTTAAGTCCCTTTCCCTCTATGCTTCACATCAATTGTTGTAAATACTTTGACATTTGGGTTAGATGATCCCAGGATATGTCAGTTTTCTGCTCATTCCTTGTCCTACCCAAGTCTTGATTTCTTTCTGCCTCTCTAGATTTCACATTTGTAGCATTACTGGCAAAGGACAGCTGTCCTGTTCCATCCCTGTCCTCACTACATTTCAGAGGTGTGTGAGAATTTCCTGGGATAAGAATGCAGCATGTTAGGATATGTCAGAAGGATGGAAGACACTACTGAGACATGGCTGCATTTCATAGAATCCTAGGGTTGGAAGAGACCTCAGGAGGTCATTTAGTCCAATCTCTGCTAAAAGCAGGAAGAACCCCAACTAAATCATCCCAGCCAGGGCTTTGTCAAACCTGGCTTAAAAAAACCTGTAAGGATAGAGATTCCATCACCTTTCTAGGGAACCCATTTCAGTGCTTCCCAGCCCTCCTACTGAAATAGTTTTTCCTAATATACCTCCCCCATTGCAACTTGAGACCATTGCTTCTTGTTCTGCCATCTGTCACTACTGAGAACAGCCTCTCTCCATCCTCTTTGGAATCCCCCCTTCAGGTAGTTGTAGGCTGCTATCAAATCCCCCCTCACTCTTCTCTTCTGTAGACTAAATAATCCCAAATCCCTCAGCCTCTCCTCATAGGTCATGTGCTCCAGCTCCCTAATTGTTTTTGTTGTCCAATGCATCCAAATCCTTTCTGTAATGGGGGCCCCAGAATTGGATGCAGTACTCAGATGTGGCCTCGTCAGTGCAGAATAAAGGAGGAACAATCAATTCTCTTGATCTGCTGGCAATGCTCCTTCTAATGCCCCCTAATATGCCCTTAGCCTCCTTGACTACAAGGGCACACTGTTGACTCATATCCAGCTTCTCATCCACTGTAATCCCCAAGTCCCTTTCTGCAGAACTGCTGCTTAGCCAGTCAGTCCCCAGCCTGTAACAATGCTTGGGATTCTTCCGTCCCAAGTGCAGGAATCTGCACTTGTCCATGTTGAACCTGATCAGATTTCATTTCTCCCAATCATTTGTCCAGGTCACTCTGGACCCTATCCCTGCCCTCCAGAGTATCTACCCTCCCCCCATCTTAATGTCATCTGCGAACTTGCTGAAGGTGTAGCCCATCCCCTCATCCAGGTCATTAATGAAGATGTTGAACAAAACTGGCCCCAGGCTTGACCCCAGAGTTAATAATCTGCACCTGAAAACTCTCTTTGTTTCAAGTAAGACAAGGACATGCTACCCTCTGACTCTCCTCATCTCTCCTGTGCCCATATGTTCTCCTCCACCCTTGGTAACTTGTTGTATGCTACAGGAGGGGGGAAAGCTATAGACAAGGGCCAGGAAGATTGACTCTGGTTTTGCTCTTCCGGGCTTTGTTTTATTAGCACCACACTGCCCTCGAGTGGCCATAGCAGGAAAGGCTAATGAAATCAGAAGATGAGGATGTTTATTCCTTTCTCATGGTGTGTAGTGGGTGAATGTTTCCTCTATTCAGAGCCTGTAGAAGATCATTTGGGATATTAATTCCAATGGGTATGAAAACAATCAGTAGTTCTGTGGCACCTTAGAGATTATCAAAATATATAGATTCATGAGAGTTCATGGGTAAAACCCATTTCATCAGATGAGTTGGAATGGAAATAACAGAAATTGTAGGATATGTGTTAATAAGGCTAATTAAGTGGGCTGGTTGTGTCCCATTCATGGTTTTTGATGTGAAAATGCAGAAGATAATGACGTTGTAGTGTTGGTGAAGTGGAGGCATAGCGCTCCCTGCTTTCAGCCCTTTGCCTGCAGGATAGTGCCAACCTCCTGCCCAGCCAGGGCAGTTCCTCCCAGCTCCCTACTCCTCCCCCCAGCCAGGGCAGCTCTCCCCAAGCCTCTGTCCCCCAGACAGGATAGCTCTTCCCCGCTACCTCCCCCTGCCCCAGCAGAGCTCAGCCTGAAGAGCAGGGACCCCCCAGCTCCAGTGTCTTTAACAGGGTTTCTTTATTGTAACTGTCACCACTGGATCTAGCCCACAGACACCCTGCAGGGGCCTTCAGGCACGCACCAGCCACTGCTCCAAGCGCCTCTCTGCTCTGCAGGGAGGGGGAGGCTTGGTGTGATCTTCCTGCCCCCAACCCAATCCTCTGCTCTTGTTGGCCAGAAATAACCAGTCAATAGGACCTGTGAGATTGGCCTGGGGGAGGGGAACAGCACAAGCCTCTCCCCCTCTGGGAGCTGAGAGCCAAATGGAGGGAGCAGGCTGCACTTTTAAGCAGTTTGGGGCTGCAGCAGGCAGAGAGTCCAGCCTGCCTTGAGGGTGCTACAGAGCTGCTGTCCAGGAGATGCTTAAGTAAGCGCCTCCCAGCCAGAGTGTGCCACTGGCACCCCTGCCCCTCTTCCACGCCAACTCCCTCCCACCATCCTCTGCACCCCCCTGCCCCAGGTCATAGCTTTCTCAGACCCTGTACCTCTTTCTATATCCCTCCTCCAGTCCAGAGTGCTCTCCTGCTCCCAGACCCTGCACCCCAATTCCCGGACCCAGGTCACAACCCTCCTTCACCCAAACTCCCTCTCAGACCCCATATCATCTCCTGCACCCCAGTCCCTTACCCTATGCGCCCATCTACACCCAACCTCCATCCTAGACCCCACGCCTCCTCCACCAGAAAGTGCTGCCCTTGACCACTTTCCAAAATCTTGGAGTGGACCCTGACCAGTGTTTGCTCTAAGCTGAACAACAGCTTCATGGGTGATTAATCAGCCCCGCCCAGTCAGAGGCTCAGGGTTCCATGCAGGGAGCTGATTGACTGGGCAGTGCTGATTAATCTCCTGTGAAGCTGAGCAGCCCTGCAGCTTAGAGGGAACACTGCTCCCCACCAAAAATGATTGCCCATCCTACCCTAAACAATACAGGCTACAGGAAGCCTCTCACATGCATGCCCCTGACAACTGCAAAATTTGCATTTCCCTGGAATGCAAGCAATGCCTTTGTTTTTGAAATGAGGGGTGCTTTGGCATCTCTCTCTCCCATTATTGTCAGCTCGCTCCTAGATAAAGGGCAAGTTTTTGAATGAGGTGCTGATCGCCATGTAGCACTGTGTGCTTACTGGCTGCACAGAAGTAGCTGGCTGAATCCTGGGTTTCCAGAGCTACGATGTTCATGGAAGAGGTTCCGGTATTGGGTCTAGTGACTGGAAACTTGGAAGCATTGTAGTCCTTCTCATAAGTAGCATTCGATCCATATACACTTAAGGCTATTAACCTTGGACCTTCTGTCTTGAGTTGTTTGTACCAGTACATATAGGTGTAGCTAGTGTCATTCTGGACACAGGTTATTTCCATCCTTTCTCCATGTCTCTGGGTTGCTGTTCTTGGGAACTGAGAGATGAGGACTCCCAGCCCAGAGCCTATGTGAGAGAAGCAATTAAAAAAAACAAATTAAAGGTGTATACAGTCTTTTAAGTTACATTCTAAATGTCTCTCCCCTCCCTCCTCCCACCAGTGTAGGATTGCTCCTTGCTGGCTTGCGCATATCTCTAGAGAAGTTGTGCTCTGCCTGTGCACCAGCTTGGGGTGGGATTTTTATGTTAACATTTTTGCTAGTGAATTTTATTCTTCTCTCTGGTTTATCTCTTGGTTTTTGTGAAGGTGACAGGAAGTGATGAATTGACTGAGCATCTTCTCCCTTCTATGATTTCTCCAATGAAAACCTGGGGAGGGGACGAATTGAAATGATGTATAAATGTTGCTTCAGATGATATGCAAAACGGTTTCCTGAGCACTCAGGTCATAAATATTTCTTCAGCACTTTATACGAGAGATCCAGATGTGCTCTTGGGCAAACCCTAACTCATGTTACTGCTTTCTGCCCCCAGCAATGTAGATGAAGTTATTCTTTCCTTCCATTCCTGATTGACTGCGCCATGCACTGAGTGATTGAAATAATATTAGTGTAGAACCACAACTATCTTATATTTTTGTTTTCCAGAATTTTCTCCTCACAATCTGTGGACTGTTTGGAAATGCAGAGATACCATCTGCGTTTTGATTGACTTTGTTTTAAAAGCTACACCCAGTTATTTAGTAAATTAGTTTTCAATTCATTAGTAGTTTTTTAAATATTAATTCCTTGTCACTCAGGCTTTTCTTTGAGTACATTTGAATAAATATTCCCTTCCCATTGAGAGATCTTTCTTTACTTTCCTTGAGAGCTTCCTTCCTGGATCTATAGCTTCCCTTTCTTTCCAGCTCCCCTCCCTGTAGAAATCATCTTCCTTCACTTGCCTACCCACAATGCTGTGCAGATCCAAATCCCATGTGTAACTGCATTTTGGAGATCACTGGATGAACAATTGACTGTCAGCTGTGGAGTTCTCAAAGCTGGGAGACTATATAGGATTTTCAGTGTTTATTAGGCTCTGTCATTGCCTGATATTGATCTTCTAGTTGAGCAAGATTTTCTGAGTTCTCTCAGGAGGAAGTAATGTATTAGAGCAGGGGTCTCCAAACTTTTCAGCCCGAGGGCCGCATTAACTATCAAACAGCAGTTCGGGGGCCGACTACACACTTGAGGTCCAAATAAAAAACAATCAAAACATGGATGTTGTTTTTAATTATTTATTTAATATTATTTTATTCAGTTATTATTTAATAACACATTGATACACTACACATGAACACCTGTATTAGTGTGAATGGTGAAATTGTTTCCTGGATGCCAAAATAGCAGACATTTCTGGCTTTGCGAATCCGTTTCTCCCGGAAGGGGGGGGGCTTTTTCCCCTGCTCTCCCCTTCCTCTGCACGCTGTCCTCCCCTCCTGCTTGCCACCGTTCACTCCTTCCCCCCCCCTGGGCGGAAGGGGTCAACTTTTTAAAGTTCCCGCCGGGGTTCACGTTCCCCCGCACGTCGCCGGGCGGGCGTTACCACCACCGCCCATCCTGCCCCCTGATTGGCCGGCTGCCCTGTCAGTCTGGGCGGGGGAACGCCGCCCGTGCTAACCCCCGCCCCCTGCGCCGTTTGCCGCCGTGCGGCTGCTTGTCAGCAGACCGGCCCGCTTCTCCTGCCCCGGCGCGGCGTGAGTACACGCCGCCCACCCCTGACAGGGCCCCCCCCCGCGGCAAGAAGGGCCCGTTCGGCGGCGCCCCAGGGACGGTCTCCACGGGCCGGATGAGAGGGCCTCGCGGGCCGCAGTTTGGAGACCCCTGTATTAGAGAGATGTGGAAGTTTTTAATAATTTCTGCATTTCAGAATCTCTGCATGGAATCTTCTGAATTCTGTCAGGAGGAAGTGTACTAGAGAGATGTGGGAGTTTTTCATAATCACATTTCCTAAATTTTTGCCTCTAATCATGAGCATGACTACCTTACTTTGGGCACTTCATAGCATGGCATGCTCCTTGACAACACAGAAGTAGCTAGCTGAATCCAGGGTTCTGAGAAGATCATGCAGGGCCCAGTCCAGTAGCTGTGCTCAGGGGCTATCTAACTCCTCACAAAAAATCCAAACTAGCTAGCATTACTGATCTTTAAACCTGTATTGCAGTGGTTAGCGCATTTGTCTGGGATGTGGGCATCCCATGTTCAATTCCCTCCTCTCTGGCAGAAGGAAATAAACATGGGTATCCAAACTCTCAGTTGTTCGCTCTGACCCAGTGGTGGGAAATGAGCTGGAGGAGGTTCACCAGCTGGCCGCCAGTGATTTATTTACTTGCATGTCCATGAGTATGGCTGTGTCGACATGGGGATGTCAGTGGATGTGATATACCTTGACTTGAGCAAAGCTTTTGATATGGTCTCCCATTGAATTCTTGCCAGCATGTAAGATACATTTATGGATTGGATAAATGGTCTGTGAGGTGGATTGAAAGCTGGCTAGTTTGTTAAGCTCTGCCAATAGGAATCAATGGCTCAATGTCAGGTTGGTGGTCAGTTTCAAGTGGAATGTACTGAAGGTCAGTTCTGGTGATGGTTTTGTTCAACATCTTTATTAATGACCTGGATAAGGGGATGGATTTCACCCTTAGCAAGTTTGTGGATAATGCCAAGCTGGGGGTGAGGTCGATATGTTGGGGGGCAGAGACAGGTCCAGAGTGACCTAGACAAAATGAAGGATTGGGCCAAATGAAGTCTGATGAGGTTCAACAAGAACACATTCCCTCAGCACCCTTGGATGCATTAGATCTACCTCCATGGATTTGTGTACATCAAGCTTTTCTAAATAGCTGTTTATACCTATTCTTTGTTCACTGATGGCTGCCTCCTTCCCACCCTGTGTTGCCTAGCCCAGAGTCTGGGAGCTGATCTTGTCTGTGAAGACAGAGGCAAAAAAAGCATTGAGTACTTCAGCTTTTCCCACATCATCTGTCACTAAGTTATCTCTCCCATCCAGTAAGGGCCTCACACCCACTCTGATCACCCTCTTATTGCTAACATGCCTGTAGAAACTTTTCTTTTTATCTTTCACATCCCTTGCTAGCTACACTTCCAAGTGTGCTTTGGCCTTCCTGATTACACCCCTGCATGCTTGAACAATATATATACTCCTCCCTGGTCATCTATCCAAGTTTCCACTTGTAATCTTCCTTTTTGTGTTTAAGCTCACCAAGGATTTCACTGCTAACCCAACTTGGTCACCTGCCATATTTGCCTTTCTTACTGCACATTGGGATGGTTTGTTCCTGCACCTTCAATAAAGCTTCTCTAAAATACTGCCAGCTCTCCTGGACTCTTCCCCCCTCCTGTTAGTATCACATTCTAAATGTCCTCCCCCTCCAGCCCCAGCCAGTGTAGGATTGCTCCCTATAGCATTGTCTCCATGGGGTTATCCTGAGCCAATAACCACCTGGGGATTATCCTGAGCCAACAACCACCTGCTATCATCCCATGGTAGTTAGATACTAACTCAGGAGAGTTGACAGCTGCATCAACAAACACTTTCATCTCTGGGTGGCCAATGTCCTTGCACAAATCAGCTCTCCTCTCAGGCAGGGATGTTGGTTTGTTATTATAATGTTCTAAATTCATTTAAGCACATGATGAGAGTCAAGTAACACACTAACAAAGATTTTTAAAAATGGTCACAAAGTTAAACCTCCCAAATCCATACTTATGCACTTAGATTAGTGAACTGTTTTCAAAAGTGCAGCAGCTCCTATTGATATCAATGGGACTACTCACAAAAAAAGTTATTAAGGTAGTAACACTGGGCCCTAAGCAATATGTTTCAAGAATACACTGCAACAGGGAGTTTTACAAGCTAATTATTTAAAACTAACTTTTATCAATTTAAAAGGAAATACCTTTAGTTTCCCTTCTAGCTATATGGTAGACCTGATGACCCTTCCCTACTCCTTTTTAATTTATCACTAGCGGATCTCTGCCTCATGCCTGCAGTGCAACAGTCTCAGAGGTGGCAGAGATGTGAGGATGTGGCGGCAAGGTGAGGCAGGCACGTGGGCAGCATGGGGGAGGGGAGGGTGTGGGAAGACTCAGGGGACACTGGCTTGGGGGGCTGAAGGAGGAACAGGCGGAGCATGGCGTGAAGGGACTCTTGCAGCACCTCCCACTTCTCTTTGTCCCAGGGCCTGAGGTGTGCGCAGAGAAGTCATTTTGCCACGGCAGCAGGCGGTCAATGGCCCTGATGTCCACACTGCCCCCACTTGCTAGACAGGCTGCCCCTGGGATGCCTCCTCAGCAAGTGGTTGGCAGGTGCGGCAGGGACCTTGTGGGGGCAGTGGTATCATTCAGACCTGTGCCTGCTAGGGTAGGCGGCTCACGGGGCAGGGTCCTGCACCCTGGGGGTGACCTGTCCTACACCCTGGGGGTGACCTGTCCTACAGGTGGAGGGGCGGGAGCAGCAGAGGTTGGCGGGGGGCAGCACCTGCAGCACAATGACTTCTCCGAGTGGCACATTGGGCCCAGGGACATATAGAAGTGGGAGATGTTGTGAGTGGTGGCACTGGAAGTAAGTCCCTGCCCGCCATGCTCTGCTCATCCCTACCTTGGCTCCCCAAGCTGGTGCCCCCGCAGGTCTTCCTGTGCCCACCCCACCTATCCACCACATCCTCACATCCTGCTCTGTTGTGGGGGGTGGGAGAGGAGCAAATGGTAGCCACCAGCCCAGCTTATCATATTGTACCTTTCCAGTGTATTCTCAAATGTTCTCTATAACAGACAGTGTGATGGACACTTTTATACTTTTTATAATAGTATATATATTATTATTGGGAGTTCCATATTTTATTGGAATATTGATCTTCTATAGAACATGCCCCCAAAAATTTAAAAATCCAAGCTGAGACACAGTTCTTGGCTGGATTAATAAATCCAGGAAAATCCATAAGTGGACAGTTGTCTCCCACATGAAATTATGAAAGCTCCATAATTTGGTTCATTTACCACTAGAAGTGGGAAAATAACAACAACCACAGGGATAGTAAATTAGAGCTGCACACCCCTCAGGAGATTATTCCTAACAGAAAAACTCACAATTCTGCTCAAACTGTTACATCTCTTTCAAATGTTCACAGTTAAACATTCACTTAATACAGAATTAAAACTTTACTATGTAGAAGAAAAATGCTGCTTTTAACCATCTTAATTTAGATGAATCAAATACAAAGTTACTTTATCCCATCCTCTTATTAAAGCTTTGCCTTTATTTTAGTTGTTTACATTTAACGCAGTCCTATATAATATTTTCTTTTTTTTTTTAGTCTCTGCCACCTAATTGTGCACTTCCAGTTCCAAATAAGGTGTGTGGTTGACCAGCCAGTTTGTAACTCTGGTGTTCATAACTCTGATGTTCTAATGGATACAAATAAATCTGTATTGGCCAGGATAACTACATGGTCAAGAGACAACCTAATAATAGATCTTCTCCAATTCCAATTTATAGGACCTTAAACCCTACATAGAGAACTCTTAACTTCTGGAAAGAAAAGGCACATTCCAGAAAGGCATGATTACTGACAGATGACTCTCAAAAGGCTTTGAGGTTTGTTGTGCACTAACAAAACCTGGAATAAAATCAAAGAAAAACTGACCTAAGTTCTCATTTCATTTTTAAACTGAAAGCTATCTCCTGTAATCATTTAAAAAATACCTCTGCAAATGAGGAAAAGTTCATCATTAACTCTGGAGTTTGGGGAGATGTGGGATTTTTTCTACCTGTGCCTGATAAACACCTAAATGTATACTTTCAAACTTTCCATTGTGTACTTTCCTTTGGTGAAATCCTTGGGCTGGAGATAAGGCCCATTCAGGAGGATAAAACCCCAGAAATTATATCTTCTAGTCTACAAAGCTGTATTAAATCCATAGGAAGACCATGAAATACATCCTGGTAGTAGCTTTTCTGGGAGCAGCTGGTAAGTTCATTTTTACTGTTTGTTACAGTGAAGTTTATATGAGCCAGGTTGTATACTACTGGCTACGTCTATATTGGTGCGTTCTCACACAAAAACTCTTTTGAGGAAGAGTTCTTCTGCAAAAACTCTTCCAGAAGAGAGCATCTACACTGGCATGTACTTTTGCACAAGAGCATCCATGCCAGTGTAGACGCTCTCTTGTGCAAGAAATCTTTGATGGCCATTTTAATCATAGGCCTTTCTTGCTCAAGAAATTCATGTTGCCTGTCTACATTGGCCTCTTGCGCAAGAACAGTTGTGCAAAAGGGCTTATTCCTGAGTGGGAGCATCAGAGTTCTGGCGCAAGAAGCCCTAATTTCATACATTAGAACGTCAGTTTACTTGCGCAAGATCACGTGGCCAGTGTAGACAGGCAGCAAGTTTTTGAGCAAGGGTGTCCACTTTTGCATGAGATCGTGCCAGTGTAGATACAGCCCTGGAGAGTGAAGCCCTTTTTTATCCCCAAAATTGTCAAGACTGTCAGCCACAGGCTAATTATCACAGAGTTTGAAGGCTACGTCTACACTGGCAGCTTCTTGCACAAGAACTGTTTTGTGGAAGAGTTCTTGCGCAAAAAGTCTTCCACAAGAGCGTGTCTTCACTGCCATGTGCTTTTGCACAAGAGCATCCATGGCTATGTGGATGCTCTCTTGAGCAAGAAAGCTCTGGTGGCCATTTTAGCCATAGGGGTTTCTTGCGCAAGAAATTAATGTTTCCTGTCTACACTGCCCTCTTGCGCAAGAGCTCTTGTGCAAGAGGGCTTATTGCTCGTGGGGAGAAGAATAACTCTTCTGGAAGAAGCCCTGTTTTCCGATGCTATACTGTAAATTTACTTGTGCAAGAATGTTTGTGCAGTGTAGACACCCGGCAAGTTTTTGCGCAAGAACAGCTGTTTTTGCTCAAGAAGCCACCAGTGTAGACGTAGCCTGATTGTAATATGGACAAATAGGCACTAGAAGCTGGGTTAAGTGAGCCCCAGAGCTGGATTTCATAAAACAACCAACAAAGAGCCACCAGCTGTGGAGACCTTTTGACCACCATCAGCTCAGGCTTGGCTCCCAGTTTCCTACAAGTGAGCGGCTTTGTATCCTAATTGTCTGTCCTTTCATTCAGGTTGGCTCCATGGTCCTCATCATGCATATTAATTACTATCTTCCTTTTTCACGCAGTTGCCTTTCCCCTTGATGATGATGATGACAAGATAGTGGGAGGCTACACCTGTTCAAAGAACTCGTTGCCCTACCAGGTGTCCCTGAATGCTGGATACCATTTCTGTGGAGGTGCCCTCATTAACAGCAGATGGGTTGTCTCAGCTGCTCACTGCTACAAATCGTGAGTAGAAAATATTTGTGCCGTTAAATTACTGCTTCCCCTCTGGCCCTATCACCCCTGTAGTGTCAGATCTGGTTAACTAAGCAAGGGTCAGTCCACCTCAGGTGGGAGATTGTCAAAGAATGCTCCAGTCCTTCAAGCAATGGAGTTGGTATTTCAGGAGAGGCTCTGGTTTCTGTGTCAGTACTGACTGCAGTGCACCAGCAGCCTGGCATTAGAAGAGGGTGCTGTGCTGCATGAGGTGACGATTCAGTATTGGGTGACATTTTTTCTGAATTAGAACTGAATCAAATGCCCTAGCATGAGTCATCTGTCCTGGTGACCATCAGTGGGTATGTCTACACTTTGAGCTGGAAGCATGATACCCAGCTCAGAGACACACACACTGAAAATAGAATGTCACTGTGGTGATGCAAATGATGGGAAGGGCTTGCCAGCTCAAGCACTTTCCCACCCAACCCTATAGGCACATACTCATGGCTGCTAATCCCTCTTGCCACTGTGATTTTTAGCATGCTTGATTAATTAAAGCTAGCACAGAAATGTCTCCCTGAGCTTGGAATTGCCCTTCCAGCTTCTAGTGTAGGCATGTCCTATAATGGTCTAGTAATTTCTGGAAGTCTCTTGATTGCTTTAAGGGAGTTAATTGGCTTTGTGGGAGTTCAATCGTGAACTAAAATTGCAGAAAGCAGAATGATGGACTAACAAAGAATGATTGAAGAGTGAACAGAATGGGCCTCTCTCCACCATCAAACAATCAAAGCACTTTGCCAGGTGACAGTGCAGTGGTCATGCAGGGATTATGTGTCACCTTTTCTGAAAACTCACCTACCGTCTTGTTAGAGTATCTTTCGTTCACTGGGAAATATGGGAACAGGGATTTGATGAGGACACCAGGGTTTTCCTAAACTATTGCTGTAAATCACCTAGAGATGGTTGATTGGTACCGTGCCAGGTTGTCAGACATCTCCATTGTGGCGTAGCTCCTCAAATAGTTCAGTACCCACTGCTTCTTCAGTGCTGCCTTGTAGGGCCATCATTGGGAACCCATTGAAGAGGAGTAAGTAGGCATCCTCAGTGTACTGTATCCTTCAAAGTATAACCTTCTCATCACATGGGTACCTCTTCCCCCAGGAAGAACATTACATTTCAATTCTACAGCACCACCACCTGAGGAACTCAGAGCCTTTGAGTTAAGCCTCAGAACTCCCTTGTGAGTTAGGAATTACTACCCCCTTGTTAGAACTAAAAGTAAAGCGTGGGGAGAGATGTGTAGACATGGTAAAAAAATTACAAATGTTGATAATTTTCAAAGAAAATTCAGTGCTCCAGGACTGCCCTGCACAGTTGGATTGCAGATGAGTCCAAATCCTGGCATGTGAACTCCAAACCAGAGAGCTTTCCACTGAATGGAGCAACTGAGACTTAGTGCTGGTGCTGATGACAGCTGTAGTGGTGGCAATAGCCACAGTGATGGCGTAGGTTGTTGTGGTGATGATGATGATGATGGATAATGATGGTGACAGTGCTGGTAAGGATGCTGTTATTCCTTCCTCCTTTCCAGCTCTATACAAGTGAGGCTTGGAGAACACAACATAGAAGTCAGAGAAGGCACCGAACAGTTCATTAACTCAGTCAAAGTCATCCGTCACGAGAAGTACAACTCCCGGCTCCTGGACAATGACATCATGCTCATCAAGCTGGCCAGTGAAGCCACCCTCAACTCCTACGTCAACACAATTGCCCTGCCAACCGGCTGTGTGGCCACTGGCACCCCGTGCCTGATCTCTGGCTGGGGCAACACTCTCAGCAGTGGCAGTGAGTGCTCTGTGGGAGTGTAGAGCTTCTCGGGGATCCTGGAGACCTTTATTGGCCTGGTAATAGGCCCCATAGAGGAGAATATGGGGAGGGGCGAGCACCTGTGGGGGAGGCAGTTTGAAGAGAGAATCCATCTGGGATGTCATGGCTCAAAGGGAAGAGCCTGTGGGAGCAGGCAACCTTTATCTAATTTAAATATGCTCTCTTCTAATATCCTTGATTGACTCTTGTTATCATTGGCATGGAGCTGGCTGAATCACTAAATATGTTCCTCTGTGAGTTCCAGGAAGAAACCCTCTATCACCCTTACTTGGGACATTCTGTGGGGCAGATCCTGACAGGTGCTGAGGAACCCACAGCCCCCCTGAGACCAATGCCCTCAAAGGCTTCCCCACAGCTCTCAAGATGGAGTTCAATATTTTGATTGCACATTCAAGATTATTACGTTATAACTACATTTTTACAATATAACTCTTGCCCTAGCCCAGGCATCAGAAAGCGAGATAGACAGAATGAGCCAAATCCACTTGGGGTCTGGCTACTGATCCATAGGCTACACTATAACCCATTACTGCAGTGCAGAAGCTGACTGGGAGCAATTCAATTAGTATTTTCCATTCACTGGGTTCCTCTGATTTATAATAATTTCTTAGTTCAATTGGCTGCCCATTTTCTGGAATTCAGTGTTTAATCTGTGCAGAGAGCTGGCTGAATAAACTTTCTAGTTACCTATTCTGATACCTCTGGAGTAAGGAGGTCCCTGTATGATGATAGCCATCCTGGGGGAGAGCTGGTTGCTGCTAGAGAAAAGTCTAGGGGGATAAAAATGCCGCTTAGAGACACTATTCCAGTTACTGAAAGGGTAGCTGTTATTTCACTGTGAATTCAAGGATTTTCATTATTAATTTGTTTTTCTTTTCTTGTAGCTAACTATCCTGACCTCCTGCAGTGCCTGAAAGCTCCTGTCCTGTCTTCCAGCCAATGTAGCAATGCCTATCCAGGACAAATCACTGGCAACATGATCTGTATCGGATACCTGGAAGGGGGCAAAGATTCCTGTCAGGTAAAACAGTTCACCCCACATTTATCACCTGTTGTCTACCCTTCACCCCCACTCTATCCTCAGCAAATAAGGCATTATACATGGTTAGTTGTTTCCTCAAGTACTGAACTCTGGTTTGTTGCTGACCTTTGGTTGATTTCCTAGTAGGAAACTTGTCCTTACCTCATGACATACCATTTTTAGCAGTGCTTCTAGGGAGTTTCATTGGAGGCCAAGGAGTGACTTTTATTTGGTTAGTTAAATATTAGTCATGGATTTTAAATGCCTCCATTTTTTATGCCAGACTTGACACAATTTATTCTTGGATATTAGAGGTGGTGATCACCTGCTGCTCCAGTTCAAGCCTTTAAACCAGGGGTGGGGAACTAGGGATGTAGGCAAGTACTCAACTATCCGACAAATATAACCTTATTGGATAGTCTAGTGGAATACTCGACTACTCGCTTCCCCTTCACTTGCTGCCTCTGTATGAGGCAAGAAGAGGGGAGGAACAGAGCCACTGCTACTCCCTACAGAGCTGGAGCACACAAAATCTACTACACTGAGCCCCCTAGGTGCTGACATGTGGGGGAATGTGGGGAGTGTCTGTTTCTCAGTTGGGGCACCATATTAGTGGGGGGGTTGGGTTTTTTTCTGATTTTTCTGTGGGTCAGTGGGCCCCAACCCAAAAAAGATTCCCTATCCCTGCTTTAAAAGATTCAGGGACTAGTGTATATTAAAATCAGTATCGAGATGTCTTGAGGTGAGTGCCCAAAATGGACACATACAAGATCCATAGTCACTTCAGAAAACTTGGCTCTGCAGGTTTTTCTCATGGGCACATCATGTACGCTCAAGCCTCTCAGGAACATGAATGGGTTGATCCTCACAATTCATAAGTACTGGTAGGACATTGAAGCAAATTAGAAGCCCAGTTTTCAGCTTGACTTCTCTTGGTGTCAATAGCAATTTGCAAATCAGTTTGTGGATGAATTGAAAAGTTTCTGGCAGAACTAAGAGTCTCACTTCTAAATCCAGCCAAGTACTTGGAACCCACAAATTGTTCTTTGTCTTTTAGCTACAAAAAGCAAACTCCTGTTTGGCACGTAGGCATAGTGTCTCCAGGCCGCACATGTTTGCATGAGCCTCATTCCATGAGGAATACCAGCTAATTCGATGTAGACAATCCCTTGGAGCTGGCCATTGCAGACTACTGGGCCACCAGAATCTCCCTGCAACAAAAATTGTGAAATGATATTTATTAGGCATTACAATCAAGAGGGGATTCTGCCTTCCTGACAAAGCAGCTGGGATCCTAAGTACTTTTTCAAAAACAACAGGAAGTCCTATAGACTAACAGATTTATTGGAGCATAAGCTTTCATGGGCAAAGACCCATGTATGACATGCATCTGATGAAGTAGGTCTTTGCCCATGAAAGCTTATGCTCCAATAAATCTGTTAGTCTATAGGACTTCCTGTTGTTTTTGAAAAAGTACTTAGGATCCCAGCTGCTTTGTCAGGAAGGCAGAATCCCCTCTTGATTGTAATGCCTAATAAATATCATTTCACAATTTTTGTTGCAGGGAGATTCTGGTGGCCCAGTAGTCTGCAATGGCCAGCTCCAAGGGATTGTCTCCTGGGGAATTGGTTGTGCACAGAAAGGCTACCCTGGGGTCTACACTAAAGTGTGCAACTACGTCTCTTGGATCAAAAATACCATCGCTGCCAACTGAGATACTCTCATTCCATTTTACCAGTGCTATCTTCCGCACTCCGCTTCCTCAGCCATGTATTAGACTTTCCAACTCTATGGAATAAATAGAGTTTGATGCAACATTGTGTCTATGTCGATGTTCTTTGGCTCTTTCTCTGCTTGGATACATGGCTTTACAATCTTTATCTCTAAGATTTACTCAGCCAGTTTAACAGTACTCAATCAGCCTGATGCCCCACAACTATTTAAGAGAACAGCTAAAGAAAAGTCTTAGAAGGGTGGATGAGTTAATCTGTAACTGAAAAACTTAAAAAACAACGAATGGTCCTGCAGCACCTTAGAGACTAACAAAAAATGTAGATAGCTTTCTGGGCACAACCTGCTTGAAAAGACTTTATCCAAGTGAAAATAGAGTGGGAATCATACAGTGGTAAAAGTGACCATTCCAAGTTGGAATATGTCCAGCTCTCCAGGGCTAATTCCCATCTTGCTATGAAAGGTGCAGTGGGATTGTCTAGAAGTCTCAATGCTCAGCACTTTGGTTTAACACCTTATGTGAAAGTAGTGGCCCCTACAGCACTGCACTTAATAGTATTCTGCTGCGAGAATATGGGGTCAGTACTGACTCTGAGGCAAGAATGTCCCCTACTGACTCCCTGAGCACAGTGTGCCTATCACTATATTGGAGCACTGGGGCTGGTGTAGAGTGTGAGGGAAAAGTGCCATTGCTTGAGTGTTCAATGCTAACACCACCATGGCCATCCAACGTGTGAAATGATGAAAGGAGAAGTCACAATGGTAGTCTGGCAGTGGTGCTTAACAATGGCATGAGAAAAAAAGCCTGACATGTGAGCAACAAAACTTCCCATGGTGGCTGCTGGATCACTTGCCTGCTGGAGGCTGAAACTTATACAGCTTCCCCACTCAGCTGCAAGCCTCAGAATGGGTGGCTTTCCACAGTGTCTGCCTCAGTCTTAACCCAGTTGCTTCAACCTGAGTGATTATAGGCAGGATTTTCCCAGTTGTCAGTGGAATGCTGAATTTCTTGAGGCTCTGCTTGACATTATTGCTGTATCAGAGCTTTGGCCTTCCTCTGTGTGGTTCTTAAGTTCCTGGAAAAATCATGGAAGGGATTCTTAAGGAATCCATTTTCAGGCACTTGGAAGAGGGGAAGGTGATTAGGAATAGTCAGCATGGTTTCACAAAGGTCAAGTCGTGCCTGACCAATCTGATTAGCTTCTATGATGAGGTAACTGGCTCTGTGGATATGGGGAAGTCAGTGGATGTGATATACCTTGACTTTAGCAAGGCTTTTGATACAGTCTCCCACAATATTCTTGCCAGCAAGTTAAGGGAATGTAGATTGGATAAATGGACGGTAAGATGGATAGAAAGATGGCTAGAAGGCCGGGCCCAGCGGGTAGTGATCAACAGCTCGATGTCAGGATGGTGGTCAGTTTCTAGTGGACTGCTCCAAGATTCGGTTCTAATCATTTTGGTTACCCTCCATTGGACCCTTTCCAATGCATCCACATCCTTTTTGTAGTGGGGGCCCAGAACTGGACACGGTACTCCAGATGTAGTCTCACAAGAGCTGAATAAAGGGGAATGATGACATCTCTGGATCTGCTGGCAATGTTCCTCCTAATGCAACCTAATATGCCATTAGACTTCTTGGCTACAAGGGCACACTGGCATGTCCCCACATATCCTGCTGACTCATAGAATCACAGAATAGAATCATAGAGCTGGAAGAGACCTCAGGAAGAGACCAAGGCAGGACTATTCCCAACTAAATCAACCCAACCAGGGCTGGGGATAGAGATTCCAGCACCTCCCTAGGTAACCCATTCCAGTTCTTCACCAACATCCTAGTTAAATAGTTTTTCCTAATATCCAATCTAGGCCTCCGCCACTGTGACGTGAGACCATTGCTCCTTGTTCTGCCATCTGTCACTACTGAAAACAGCCTCTCTCCATCCTCTTTGGAACCTCCCTTCAGGAAGTTGAAGGCTGCTATCAAATCCCCCCTCACTCTTGTCTTTTGCAGACTAAACAAACCCAAATCCCTCAGTCTCTCCTTATTGGTCATGTGCTCCAGCCCCTGAATCATTTTTGTCGCCCTCCTCTAGACCCTCCCCAATGCGTCCACATACTTTCTATAGTGGAGGAACCAGAACTGAACACAATACTACAGATGTGGCCTCACCAGTGCTGAATAAAGGGGAATAATCACTTCCCTGGATCTGCTGGCAATGCTCCTCCTAATGCACCCTAATATGCCATTAGCCTTTTTCGCTACAAGGGCATAATGTTGACTCATATCCAGCTTCTCATCCACTGTAATCCCCAGGTCCTTTTCTGCAGAACTGCTACTTAGCCAATCGGTCTCCAGCCTGTAGTAATGCTTGGGATTCTTCCGTCCCAAGTGCAGGACTCTGCACTTGTCCTTGTTGAACCTCATCAGATTTCTTGTGGCCCAATCCTCTAATCTCCTCAGGTCATTCTGGACCCTATAACTGCCCTCCAGTCTATCTACCTGTCCCCCTAGCTTAGTGCCATCTGCAAACTTGCTGAAGGTGTAAACCATCCCCTCATCCAGGTCATTAATAAAGATGAACAAAACCAGTCCTTGAACCGATCCTTGGGAAACTCTGCTAGAAACCCACCGCCAACCTGACCACAAGCCATTGATCACTACCCGTTGGGCCCGACAGTCTAGCCAGGTTTATACAGTATCCATCTTACAGTCCATTTATCCAATGCATATTCCCTTAACTAGCTGGCAAGAATATTGTGGGAGACCGTATCAAAAGCTTTTCAGGAAGTCAAGATATATCACATCCACTGACTTTCCCATATCCACAGAACCAGTTACCTCGTCAGAGAAGCTAATCAGATTGGTAACACACGACTTGTCCTTCATGAATCCATGTTGACTATTCCTGATCACTTTCCCTTCTTCCAAGTGCTTCAAAATGGATTCCTTGAGGATCCTCTCCATGATTTTTCTGGTGGACTGAGGTGAGACTGACTGTCTGTAGTTCCCTGGATTTTTCTTTTCCCCTTTTTTAAAGATGGGCACTACATTTGCCTTTTTCCAATCATCTAGGATCTCACCCAATCTCCATGACTTTTCAAAGATAATGGCCAAAGGCTCTGCAATGACATCAGCCAACTCCCTCAGTACCTTTAGATGCATTGAATCTAGGCCCATGGATTTGTGTATGTTTAGCTTTTCTAAATAGTTCCTAACTTGTTCTTTCAAGAGATTGTTAGCTAGGTAATCCTAGCTGGGCCCTGCGGATTCAGTTTGGGGCAACAATGGGGTGTCTGCTGACCCCTCTTCACTTGTCCTTGAAAAGAAATCTGCGTTGGTGTGGCTTTTCCTGATGAAAAGCAAAAGGCTGTAGTGATTTATACCAACACATGATCTGTGCATTCAAATCTTTCATGGCATGGAGCCATCTCAGGGGGGCATGGTCCCTAGCAGATAATATCTTAGGGACTCTACAGCCCATTTCACCACAAGGGTCTCCTGCTCTATTGTGGAGTATCAGGTCTCCTGCGGGAATAGCTTGTGGCTAAGATACAGAATCGGGTGCTAAAACTGCCCTCAGCCCTACTCGGGAGGCATCCGTCTGCAAAATAAATGGTTTATCAAAGTCCAGCTGGGTGAGCACTGGTTCTCGGGCTAACTGCCCCTTCAAGGTTTGAAAGGCGGCTTCACGCTCTGGGGTCCACTCGATGCGGCGTACCTGAGGATTCTTTGTGAGATCTGTGAGAGGTGCTGCAACAGTCGCGAAGTTTGGAATAAAGTGATGATAGTATCCCACCATCCCCAGGAATTGTCGCACCTGCCTCTTCGTGGAGAGCAAGGGTCAGAGCTGCCCCCTCCCGACTGTATAGCCCAGGTAGCTCACTTCCTGACGTTCCCAGTGGCACTTTACTGGGTTGGCTGTGAGTCCAGCCTTTGCTAGCGCTTGCAATACTTGTGCCAGATATTGAAGGTGTTCCATCCAACTATGGCTATACACCACAATATCATCGATATATGCTGCCATGTAATTGTTATATGGACTTAGGACTTTGTTCATAGGCTGCTGGAGGGTGGCTGCCACTCCGTGAACGCCAAAGGGCATCGTTGTAAATTGGAAGAGTCCAAAAGGTGTTGGGAAGGCCATATTTTCTCTTGATGCCAGTGTCAGAGGGATTTGCCAGTAGCCTTTGGTTAAATCAAGGGTGGATATAATTCTAGTGTGACCTAATCGTTCTAACAACTCATCCACTCGAGGCATTGGGAAAGCATCAATGCGGGAGATGGCGTTCACTTTTCTGAAATCCATGCAGAACTTGACTGACCCATCCGTCTTCGGTACCAGGACTATAAGGCTCCTCCAATTGTTTTGGGATTCCTCGACCACCCCCAGAGTTAACATTTGGTCCAGTTCTTTCCAGACCATGTCCCAGTTTCCTGGGGAGCAGATGATGGTAGTCCTGCACCTTCTGTCCTGGGGGGATGGCGATGTGGTGGCACATTAAGCTTGTCTTGCCGGGCTTAGATGACAGGACCTGGGGAAAGCTGTCCAGCAGCCGGCGAAGTTGCTCCTGCTATTCTGGACTGAGATCAGTGCTGATGTTGAAGTGCGCCGGTGCTGGGTCTTCTTCGCCTGCTGGCCCTAGCTCTAGCTCCATAGGGTACGAGGTAATCATCAGGGCCTCCTGGTCCTCCCACCCCTTGAGAAGATTCACATGGTACACCCGCACCTCTTTCCTCCTTCCGGGCAGTCGTACTTCATAATTCACCGGGCCCACCTGTCTCACCACCTCAAATGGTCTTTCCCATTTGGCTAGAACCTTAAATTCCAAGGAAGGGAGCAACAGTAGCAGCCGGTCTCCTGGCTGGAAGGTTCAGGTCCGGGTCCCTCGGTTGTAATGAGCCCTCTGGACCTCTTGGGCTTGGCGTAGATGCTCTTGCGCCAGGCATTCCAACTCACAGCTGTAGGATATACTGCACAGCGCCTCGGGCCATAGGCTCTTGCTCCTCCCAGGGATCACAAACGAGGTCAAGAATCCCCCGGGGCTGTCATCCATACAGAAGCTCGAAGAGCGAGAATCCC